ATGTGTTTGCGAGAATTTGAACGAATCCGGGCACAATGCACTTGCAATGTATCCTGTATGACTGTGTCCTGATCACACGATCAGACAATGCAGTCTTGTCGTCGAATTCTCGCAATCAGAATGTGTTTGCGAGAATTTGAACGAATCCGGGCACAATGCACTTGCAATGTATCCTGTATGACTGTGTCCTGATCACACGATCAGACAATGCAGTCTTGTCGGTCGAATTCTCGCAATCAGAATGTGTTTGCGAGAATTTGAACGAATCCGGGCACAATGCACTTGCAATGTATCCCTGTATGATGTCCTGATCACACGTCGCATGCTCAGTCTTGTCGCTCATTCTCGCAATCAGAATGTGTTTGCGAGAATTTGAACGAATCCGGGCACAATGCACTTGCAATGTATCCTGTATGACTGTGTCCTGATCACACGATCACAATGCAGTCTTGTCGGTCGAATTCTCGCAATCAGAATGTGTTTGCGAGAATTTGAACGAATCCGGGCACAATGCACTTGCAATGTATCCTGTATGACTGTGTCCTGATCACACGATCAGACAATGCAGTCTTGTCGTCGAATTCTCGCAATCAGAATGTGTTTGCGAGAATTTGAACGAATCCGGGCACAATGCACTTGCAATGTATCCGGGGTATGATAGAACCAGACACAATTGTCTGCATTGCTCTATCATTTCGCTCATATCCTCGCAATCAGAATGTGTTTGCGAGAATTTGAACGAATCCGGGCACAATGCACTTGCAATGTATCCGGGGTATGATAGAACCAGACACAATTGTCTGCATTGCTCTATCATTTCGTCATTCCTCGCAATCAGAATGTGTTTGCGAGAATTTGAACGAATCCGGGCACAATGCACTTGCAATGTATCCTGTATGACTGTGTCCTGATCACACGATCAGACAATGCAGTCTTGTCGGTCGAATTCTCGCAATCAGAATGTGTTTGCGAGAATTTGAACGAATCCGGGCACAATGCACTTGCAATGTATCCTGTATGACTGTGTCCTGATCACACGATCAGACAATGCAGTCTTGTCGGTCGAATTCTCGCAATCAGAATGTGTTTGCGAGAATTTGAACGAATCCGGGCACAATGCACTTGCAATGTATCCTGTATGACTGTGTCCTGATCACAAGTCAGCAATGCAGTCTTGTCGGTCGAATTCTCGCAATCAGAATGTGTTTGCGAGAATTTGAACGAATCCGGGCACAATGCACTTGCAATGTATCCTGTATGACTGTGTCCTGATCACACGATCAGACAATGCAGTCTTGTCGTCGAATTCTCGCAATCAGAATGTGTTTGCGAGAATTTGAACGAATCCGGGCACAATGCACTTGCAATGTATCCTGTATGACTGTGTCCTGATCACACGATCAGACAATGCAGTCTTGTCGGTCGAATTCTCGCAATCAGAATGTGTTTGCGAGAATTTGAACGAATCCGGGCACAATGCACTTGCAATGTATCCTGTATGACTGTGTCCTGATCACACGATCAGACAATGCAGTCTTGTCGGTCGAATTCTCGCAATCAGAATGTGTTTGCGAGAATTTGAACGAATCCGGGCACAATGCACTTGCAATGTATCCTGTATGACTGTGTCCTGATCACACGATCAGACAATGCAGTCTTGTCGGTCGAATTCTCGCAATCAGAATGTGTTTGCGAGAATTTGAACGAATCCGGGCACAATGCACTTGCAATGTATCCTGTATGATGTCCTGATCACAATTGTCTGCATTGCATCTTGTCGTCATTCTCGCAATCAGAATGTGTTTGCGAGAATTTGAACGAATCCGGGCACAATGCACTTGCAATGTATCCTGTATGACTGTGTCCTGATCACACGATCAGACAATGCAGTCTTGTCGGTCGAATTCTCGCAATCAGAATGTGTTTGCGAGAATTTGAACGAATCCGGGCACAATGCACTTGCAATGTATCCTGTATGATGTCCTGATCACAACGTCAGACAATGCATTGTCGTCGAATTCTCGCAATCAGAATGTGTTTGCGAGAATTTGAACGAATCCGGGCACAATGCACTTGCAATGTATCCTGTATGACTGTGTCCTGATCAACGATCAGACAATGCAGTCTTGTCGTCGAATTCTCGCAATCAGAATGTGTTTGCGAGAATTTGAACGAATCCGGGCACAATGCACTTGCAATGTATCCTGTATGACTGTGTCCTGATCACACGATCAGACAATGCAGTCTTGTCGGTCGAATTCTCGCAATCAGAATGTGTTTGCGAGAATTTGAACGAATCCGGGCACAATGCACTTGCAATGTATCCTGTATGACTGTGTCCTGATCACACGATCAGACAATGCAGTCTTTCGGTCGAATTCTCGCAATCAGAATGTGTTTGCGAGAATTTGAACGAATCCGGGCACAATGCACTTGCAATGTATCCTGTATGATGTCCAGACACAACTGCATTGCTCATCTTTCGTCAATTCTCGCAATCAGAATGTGTTTGCGAGAATTTGAACGAATCCGGGCACAATGCACTTGCAATGTATCCTGTATGACTGTGTCCTGATCACACGATCAGACAATGCAGTCTTGTCGGTCGAATTCTCGCAATCAGAATGTGTTTGCGAGAATTTGAACGAATCCGGGCACAATGCACTTGCAATGTATCCTGTATGATGTCCTGATCACAACGTCAGCATGTCTTGTCGGTCGAATTCTCGCAATCAGAATGTGTTTGCGAGAATTTGAACGAATCCGGGCACAATGCACTTGCAATGTATCCTGTATGACTGTGTCCTGATCACACGATCAGACATGCATCTTGTCGGTCGAATTCTCGCAATCAGAATGTGTTTGCGAGAATTTGAACGAATCCGGGCACAATGCACTTGCAATGTATCCTGTATGACTGTGTCCTGATCACACGATCAGACAATGCAGTCTTGTCGGTCGAATTCTCGCAATCAGAATGTGTTTGCGAGAATTTGAACGAATCCGGGCACAATGCACTTGCAATGTATCCGGTATGATGAACCAGACACAATTGTCTGCATTGCTCATCTTGTCGTCATTCTCGCAATCAGAATGTGTTTGCGAGAATTTGAACGAATCCGGGCACAATGCACTTGCAATGTATCCTGTATGACTGTGTCCTGATCACACGATCAGACAATGCAGTCTTGTCGGTCGAATTCTCGCAATCAGAATGTGTTTGCGAGAATTTGAACGAATCCGGGCACAATGCACTTGCAATGTATCCTGTATGATGTCCTGACACAATTGTCTGCATTGCTCAGTCTTGTCGTCATTCTCGCAATCAGAATGTGTTTGCGAGAATTTGAACGAATCCGGGCACAATGCACTTGCAATGTATCCTGTATGACTGTGTCCTGATCACACGATCAGACAATGCAGTCTTCGTCGAATTCTCGCAATCAGAATGTGTTTGCGAGAATTTGAACGAATCCGGGCACAATGCACTTGCAATGTATCCTGTATGATGTCCTGATCACAAGTCAGCATGCAGTCTTGTCGGTCGAATTCTCGCAATCAGAATGTGTTTGCGAGAATTTGAACGAATCCGGGCACAATGCACTTGCAATGTATCCGGGGTATGATAGAACCAGACACAATGTCTGCATTGCTCTATCATTTCGCTCATATCCTCGCAATCAGAATGTGTTTGCGAGAATTTGAACGAATCCGGGCACAATGCACTTGCAATGTATCCTGTATGATGTCCTGATCACAAGTCAGCATGCAGTCTTGTCGGTCGAATTCTCGCAATCAGAATGTGTTTGCGAGAATTTGAACGAATCCGGGCACAATGCACTTGCAATGTATCCGGGGTATGATAGAACCAGACACAATTGTCTGCATTGCTCTATCATTTCGCTCATAT